ATACTGATCAAACTTTTAAATTAATAAATAATGAATATTAATATATTAGCTAACACTTTCAACAAAGTAACAAGGAGATATTTCTAGAGAAAAAATAAAAAGTAACAAAGGTAGTAATATATATATAATTTTTTTAAAGCTACATATATAATTTGCGCGGGAGAGGGGAGGGGCGGGGCGGTTTCATCACTAAATATGCCCCCGCTTCAAATCTGTTTCAGATTTTTAATTATTTTATCATACTTAATCACCCCAAATTCATTTACGGACTTCCAAATTCGCCCCATTAGGAGCGGGGCAGAAACCACTGAGTTGGAAGAAATTACTATCCCTAGATATGAGGTTGGATATTGTGCGTTTGTTTAAACTTTTTCAAGAGAATTTAAAAAAATAAAAAAAGATTGAAAAAAAATAATTTATATTTTCCTTATCATGATTACTTTAAATCTCCATTTATTATTGACTTTGAAGTGGGGTTAGCTTTGAGCTTCATCTTAATAAATTGAGTCATTGTTAATTCGGTACAGTGGTTAAATCATGAGTGTATGGGTAACAACAATTTTTTGCCCAAATTAAAAAAAAAAAAAAAAAATTATTATTTGAAACAATATTAAAATCGTAAGTATACGAATGAGAACTCAAATTTAAAATGTGAAATGTTAGGTTTTTACTCAATTGTGTAAAAAATGATATAGATTATGTCTTTGTCCAACTATTGCATGAATATATCTCATTCTTTTTGTTAATACCTCATATCTTAAAGGAGAAAAATGAAAATTCCAACTACCGTATGAACATATTTTGAAATAATTTTTAATCCTATCATTTAATTGCAATGGCTTTGTTTCAGAGTGATATCCCCTCTACTTTTCAAAGTAGATGATGAGGGTCAGAGTCTCCAAAAGAGCAAAGTAGGTACTGTGTTTCTTGTCAAAAGAAAAAAGAAATAATAATAATAATAATAAAAATTCCTATCATTTGATAAAACAATGTTGATTCAATATATTTGTGCTCCTATTGTTGATATGAGGCACATTTTTATGATTGCATTTATCACCGCATGCTTTGAGATCCATACATTGTTGATCAATTACATCTCATTCAAAATGAATGAAAGTGAAGTACTCTTTATTAAAGAAGGAAAAAGGTTTTAAAGCTGGCTTTCTAGGTCAAGTTCATTTGATGTTGTATGATAGTACCATTAAGCCATCAATACCCAACTTTAATTTTCGTATAGTTTCATTTTCAATTGATTTAAATCAAGTCTCAATTTCCTTTCATTGTTTATGTAATGATAATGATTTAATTTGGCAAAATTTTTCACATGAAAAACATCTAAAAGTGACTTCTTAATCGTTCGATTGAGAGATCGAGGTCCGAATCGAACAATCCAAGCCACTCATTAAAACTTTATTGTTTAATTTTTTACCCTATCTTTGAATTGTCCACCACACTCTTTAGTGAGCCCAATAAGCTGATTCAAGTTCATAATTAGTTTGGGGTTCTTTGCAGTTGTCTTTAAATCATGATTTGTTGGATGAAGGAACATTATTAAGTATTATTGGTAAAATCTGCTTTCTCCAAACTCCCTAAAAATGTCTCCGAGAGATTTTACAGACATATTACATACACGAGTGATTTAAGATGTGTTTTTTTTTTTGATCGGAATTTGTTCACATCGAAGATCCATAGCGCTACCAATCATTAAAATAGTATTGACTTTCACCTTCAAAATTCTAAATTTGAAAAAAATGATGAAGATATCACACTTTGAACGGATCAAGGCATTCGTGGAGTGCTCATTCATCTACCAGGTAGAGTGAAATGATGTGAGTCTGAGTCTAAGTCAAAGATCATTGTACTTTGCTTTAACTACAGTAAATCTTTTAACTTGACCGCGTGACAGTTTTTCACAAAGTTATTTTCCTAATTAGGTTTTCTACTAAAAACTCATCACTCTAAACCCTACTTTTAGTTTATCAGTTTATTTTTACTTTGTGAGTTATTCAATTTACTTTCAATTCGATTAATTTAATATTAATCAATAATTAAATAAAAGAACAAATTGAATATATTAAACCCCTCTAAACTGTTTATTTATATTATATTTCACAACCACAACTCAATGCATGCCGTAGCTCCAAGAGTTGCCCTCAAATATTACATAATAATAATTAATTTTTTATTCAAATTTGATTATATAATAGGATTAAATGCAAAAAAAAAAAGAAAAAAAAAAACCCTGAACTACAGCAACTAACCCCCGTGAACTACAAAAGTTGCAACTAACTCCCTGGACTATTCAATTTTGTTGTAGATGACTCCATCCGACAGGATTCTGGCAAGTTTTTGACTGACAAATGGCATATGCCATCACGTGATACAAATGTTTAAAATAAAGGACCATAATGCCCTTATTCACATAAAAGGACAAAAAGGCCCTTGCTACCATTATAACCAAACAGTCCTATTTGAGCCTATAAATGGGTTGCCAAACACACCCTTCGTCTCCATCAAACCATCCCCTACAGCAACAATGATCATAGCTGAGCTTTCTGCTCGTCGGACCTAACCATCATTATCAGTTCAATTCACCATTTCAAGCACCGCAGCAAGCACTGCTGATTCAGTTCCAAGCTCGCCGGCTGTTCCTCTCACTGCCAAGCTCAGTAGTAAAATTCCTACCAAAACTATCAGTTGTCCCCTACATATACCTCAAAACCTGTGAACCATAGGATGGATTCTGACAAAAATTTTGAATTTCCTTCAAAACCATCCAATAATTTGATCATATAAACAAAACCCATTAATCAAATACCATAATTGAATGGAGTTAAATTAAAAAAAAAAAAAAAAAAAAGGTTTTGTAGCCAACCTAATATTGCAACCCAATCACAGAACCCATTCGCCGCCATTTTAGCGCCACCATTGAAGTTCTGCCCTCGCACTGATCAGAATCACTTCTCGCTGCCGTTGCCCACTACTTCATCACCATTTTCATTCAACGCCGGTGGGTTCTTTCCTTCCCGCTTCTAGAATCGTGACCGCGAGTTGTCGTTGTCCTTGCACTACTTGTTTATTGGATTTGTAACAGATACAACACCACCACCGTCGCCGCTGCCACAACAACACCAATAGAAACTCAGATAATTGATGTTGAACCAAATTGTTAAACCCAATTGAACCACAAACCCACTTTGTCGCTACCATCACCACCAAATAAAACCATCACAATCATCGCGGACACCTTGCAAAGCCCTAAATGAACGCAACAGCACCACCATCACTGATTCGACTTGTCTGCAGAACCTAATTGAAACCCAACAACACCACCATCGGTTGCGCAACCAAACTCAGCAACAAAAAATGCTAGCCGGATTCAATGGAGATGCACAAACAATTGTGAAACCAAATTGAACCATAAACCCACTCTGCCACCACCATCACCACCAAATCAAACCATCACCATCATCACAGACACATATATTTATACATACACATACAGACACATATATATATCTATATACACACATACATACATATATATTTATTGAAAATGATTTCTTTGAATTCCAATCAAAACCCTAAATAATTGATCTCACGAGGCCAAAGTCAAAAATTTTGGACTTCGAATTGAATTCCGAGTTGAGATTTAACGATCGCAGGCCATCGTTGAAGATTGATTTGCCTCCGGTGAAGAAATTTGAGGTCTTGGAATTCGCTGAGTCGATTCAGCCATCGAGAGTTGTGTCTGTAAAGAAACCTTTGAATACAGATGAGAGGTTACATTACAGAGGTGTCCGATGAAGGCCGTAGGGTAAGTTTGCGACAGAGATCCGAGATCCGAGATCCGAATCATCGTGGCTTAAGGGTTTGGCTTGGGACATTTGACACCTTCAAGATTTGTGAAAGTAAAGCTATTGTCAACTTTCCACTCGAGGTCGGGAAGTCGTATGACACAACTGCCACATGGAAGGTGGCTGGAAAAGACAGAGAGATATAGAAGCTTAGGCGGAGCAGAAGCCATTGAAGAAGGAAAGGATTATAAAAAACTGCGTCGTTTTATTGGAAGGGCAGTTTTCGTAATTTTTTATTCTGGTGGCCTAAGTGGGCAAATTGCAATAAATTCATAGTACATGGAGGTTTGTTGTAGTGTAGGGGGATTAGGTGCAAAACCCCTATATAATACTTAAATTGATTAACGGGTTCAATGACCTAACGATATCAGTCTCTTATTTTTAAAGAGAGATCAAACGTTTAAGTTTCAGAAAAGACAAATGTGTGTAAACACCAATTAATAAAAAACATAATATTTAAATTGACTTGCCCCGGTGAGGTGATGGATGGAAATTCCGACATATCCCAGCAATATAGGAAAAAAGAATACAATAAATTAATTGTTAATTTTGTGTTGAAAAAGGAACTTCAGAAAACTGTAAATACGTCACTCAGTGAGTAGGCTAATTAATGGTAATCATTTTAGCAAATGCGTACACAACACCACCATCTTATGACACGAGATTGAGATCACACAGCTCGATCCTTACCTGAAATCAATGGCATGAACAGTTTGATTGATTGAAATGATATTCCTTCACAAGACACCCCTTGGGATAGCCCACAAATCATATCATGAAACTCCATATCGATTTTATGATTTGCAATTACTAGTAATTTGATTTACCCAGCCGAATGGGTTTTTCATATAATAATTGAGACATCCATATATATACACACAATAATGGCCTTGGAATGAGAAAATCCATACAAATGAGAACAATAAGAAACTCCAAAAACAAAGAAGTGATTTTCTCTACACGTGGTGTATAATCCCTTCAAAGGTTTTAATTTCTCCGAAAAAATTATTAGATAACTCTGTATGCACAAGTATTCTAATCCAAACAAAGTTCTTCGACTAGAAAAAAAAAAGAAAAAAAAAAAGGGGATAAATTCATCTTGCAAAGAACTTGAAAATACAAGTACTAGATTAGAAATTGATGTCCCAAAAGAATTCTGACCATTAAACAAGAAAGAGCTATTCCATATGGAAGATAACACACAACACATACCCATAAGATTATTTATAATCTAAATTAGCACAAACTCTGCTATTCAAAAGCCCCATAAATGAATGCCCCATAAAACACATTTACAGTACAACCCGTCCCACTGATCTTTCATCATCACCTTTTTGTAAATTCAAAAAATGCATGCTCTCATTCATCAACAAGCTAAAGTCTTCATGGTGACCTCCAGCTTTCTAACCCAATGACATTGTGCTTCCTCGACGGACCGGATGACGGAATCGGTATCCTTCTTGGCAAGAACCCCATGAAGTGGCCTAAATTCTGAGGCTTTGGGTTGATTTTGAATACATGGATGGTTCTTGAGCCATGACACTGACCAACAATGAAGATGAACAGCAGAACCAACCAAAGAAGCTGAATTAGAGGCCTTTTACAACGAACCATCTTGCAAAACTGTGGAAAGAGAGAGCGAGAGAGTTTTCAGAGTTGGAGTGGCTTGCTTATGAGGGTTTTGATGAGGAGAAGGTGAGGAGAGCAGGAAACATGGGACATTGAATGCAGAATTGTGTGTTTGATTTAGCCGTTTGTGTGTGTGTGTGAGAGAGAGAGAGAGAGAGAGAGAGAGAGGAGGAGAGAGATAACTTAAAGAAATGAGATGGTTATACAAGTAGTGATGTTAGGAGCAGAAAGTTGAAAAAAAAATGAGAAAGCTTTTATGGAAGGGTCTCATGGATTAGAGACTCTAAAGTGATATGATAAAAGAAGAAAGATATAGAGTAGAAATAAATATATATATATATATTTTTGTCAAATGTCAAGAAGAAAGGAAAAGGAGAGAATGGAAAGATGAGAGGAAAAGCAGAGAGGGTTATGTCATCCCTCATGGTTAGGTGAGTGTTTGGTCCCACTTCATATTAATGGCCAACCAAGGTTTGGGACTGTTTTTTAGACCCTCAAAACAGGAAAACTTGTCCTTGTACACTAGTGCTCTTTTGCAGTGTTTTTTCTGATGTCCTCTCTCTAGATACATCTCTCTCATCCTCCTAAAAAAAGAGGAGTAGGTTTTGACGCTTGACACGGTGGGGGTGATTGAGAGCATGGTCAGTTAGTATAGTACGTACGTATACAAGAGAAAAGGAGTAGATTTGTTTTCTTACTGTTCGGGCAGAATGGCAGAGCAGTCCCTTTAATTGGGGAATGGGTTGGAGGGAGGGAGGGAGAGAGAGAGAGAGATAAAGGGGTAGGGAAGGTTCCTTTGGGATTGTAGAGGATACAAGGGGAAAGGAGCCACATTGTTCATGGTCATGCCATTGTCCCATGATCACACATTTTGTAGAATGAATCGGAGAGATGTCCCCGCAGAAAGACTGCAATGAAATATTAGTTCTTGTAACCTCGGGCCATGGCCTCCTAGTTTGACAATAAAAGTAACATGAATTGCAGAAATTTGCTCCTACATTATTGTGAGGACTATCCTCTATTTATAATAAATAATAATGGTTGAATTGGATTAAGACTCGCATTACTTGTCCACCAAGTTCTTACCATATAATATTTGTTTCCTTATATTATTAAATAAAAGTTTACATAAACGTGTCATGGTAATAGAAGACTCCTTCTTCATGTCGGACTTAATCAACCCGAATGGGTCGGACCTCCATTTGATGACGGGCTAGTAAAACTTATTGCAGTTTTCTATGTCTTCAACAATTTGGATTTCTATTTTGGGCTTTGACTGCTGATCCATGGCTTCTTATTTGACTGGCCCCTTTAACTTATTTGCATCTAGCTCCCATATTATGACGTGTCGTATTTTTTATTGGAGGGGAGTTTTTCCATCCACACTATGCCCCCAATTCCCTCCCAAATTAGGTAACAATCCCTATTTTGAAGGGAATTAAGGTGTGTGAGAGTTTGAAGCGTAATTGAAGAGACAGCCAATGATCGGGAGTTCATTTCTTCCATTCAGATTTGCAAAGCTAGGGTTTCTACTGTCTTTGTGTCTACAACATTCTCGTATCTCGCTTCACTTTGATCTCGCAGTGTCCTGAAGTTAGTTTTCATCAATCTCTTCATTTTGGCTATAATTTTTTAGAGATCAGCGCGGACCCTGCAACCGTCGTCTCGAGTCCACTCCCTCTGCTTCCCTTAAATTAATTTACACCCCTCCCCCTAAGTCATCAAGTGTAACTCCTTCGACTGACTGTCCTCTCTAAGGAAGGAAGGATCGTCTTCTCAAGACGAGGTATCCAATTATGGATCTGATGAAGCTTTCTCGAGCATCGAGAAGGACATCATTTTGGCTATTTCTCGACAGGCCATTAAAATCACTTCTCTTATTGAGGAATTTGATAGTTATTCCAGGGGGGTAGAGATTAGAGTGTATCCCTTAGATGTGGACTTTTGTTCTGGTAAAGGTGTGGAAGACAATGAACTCTTAATCTCGGCTAGGCATTTGAATGCCTTGAGATTTCCTCTTCACCCATTTTACCACCTGGTTTTGAATCAATTAAGGTTAGCTCCTTTCCAGGTAAACCCAAATTTCTTTTGGATCATATCTTCACTTTTAGTTAGTAGAAAACTAGAAGAACTTGACCTCAACATTATTGGTTATTTGGTGAGCTATAAGATCTGTAAGTATCAATCTGAGTTAGGTAGATACCATTTTTCTCCCTTGGATTCTGTTTGCAAGATATGCATTGGCCTTCCCACTTCCGAGAAGTACTGGAAGGAAAGGAAGATCATTATTAGTGGAAATTAGGATATTTCCTTGTCTCGCAAGTTTCTTATTCCCCAAAAGTTTGGCAAATTAGGTATTGGGGACTATCCTTCTCCTCATTTCGACTGCTCTAGTTGCTTTACTTGTGAATTCTGCTCTTTCATAATATTTACGAATTTCTTGGCCTTGTTTCAGGCTCCTTTCCTACTTCAGTTACTAAAGAAAGACTTTTGCTACTCAAATCCAATGTGTGGAAGAACCTACATTCGGTTAAGGCAATTCTTACCTAAAAATATCTCGAATGACTCGCCTCAGTTGCAGAAGAGACCCTTGGAAGTTGTGTAAGGAAATGAGCCTATCGAAGAAGACGAGAACCCCAAGCCTCTGTAGAAAAAAATCCAAGAACTCCTCCATTCCTCTGTCTAAAAGCAAGGAGTCTTCTGGCACCAAACGCACTGGTGCCAAAAAAGGCAAAAACAATACTCTTATGTGATACCCCCTAATTTTAAAGCCATAAGTTGATCAAGTCCACGTCTAAAACCAAGGGATATCAAACAATTAATAATAAAACAAGTACAGAATACAAAAAGATAAATAAAGAATAAATAATAAAGCTGAAATGAAAACTAAATAATTAAATAATGAAACCTTTGAGACCAATATTCCAAATAAATTCAATAACATGCAAGCCTTCAAAATATCACTCGGGAATCCATAAATCAAAGACCCCTAATAAAATCCCATAACTGTAACAAATAAATAACTATTAAGTTTGAGAAATAAAACAACATCAAAAATAATATCCTACATCGAGGATATGGAAGAGTGAAGATAAATGATCTCTGGTTTGTAAAAATAACTCTAAAACTGGTACTGTTGAGAGCCTGAAAAATAAATGGTGGGTCAGACCCACAAACAAATTCTCTCTACTACAACCTGATCAGAGAACCAATAATCAATATATCCTTAGCCAAACTAATGGTATATTTACATAGTTGGTACATACATATTCACACTAAGACTCTCGCTGAATAATAGGACAGTCTCAACCGTATAATGGGTATCTCTAGAAAAAATCGTACACGAGGTGATCCAGAGTCCCCCTTCTATCAGGGGACACACATCTCCTATTCCAACTACCCATCTAATGCGCAATAAATACCTCAGTCCTAATCATAGATCCCGAGACCTCAAGCTCGTATCAAGGCTCACACACACACACATATACACACACACATACAACATTAATAAATAAGTGTCATATCTAACAACGATAGCCAACCCACCTACACATCAATCAATACCATATCTACCAATGGTATAAAATATCAAGGAACCTAACTTAATAGCTATCTCAATGATCAACATCACATACAAGAATAAATCTCATCATAGCCATATAATAATAGCATAACAATTATAATCCACTGTAGTTCAAGTATAGAACAATAGTTATGATAGGAACATCATTTAAAAATCATAATACCAATTACTCATATTTAACAATGATAAATAATCAATTATATCCATTTATCATGCTCGTAGATTATAGGTATATCAACAACAATGATCATAATAATATAATCAACAATCATATTTAAATATACAAATTAAATATTACAAAAGATTAGTAGACATAATGTTGTATTCAACAATCATATTTAATTACACAAATTAAATATTACGAAATATTAAATTAATTTTATTTAATTAATTTAATCATTTCCATCTAACATCAAAACATGAAGATCTATTACCAAATATATATTTTAAACCTATATTATTGTTCCCAATACTCATAAACATGTTTAGAATTCACTATACTTAAAATGGGGTCATTAAAAACATTTTTAGAGAAAACAGCCCCCCAGAGCTCGAGCACAACTCATCAGTGCTCGAGCTTAACCTTGTGCTCGAGCAGAAACCCCAGTGCTGGAGCACTGTGCATCGGAACAGCGTTGTGCTCGAGCACAAAGTCCTTGGCAGCATGCACATATCCGATTTTTGACCTGTAAATCCACGATTCGGGTCCTAAAACATGATTTCTAAGTCTCATAAGATCACCAATGATTTATACAATGAATATACACAAGATCTAACAATTTTAAACAAGTTTTATTCATCAAATCAAAGAATTCATCAAATTGAATGATAAATACATATAAACACAAAATCCTTCAATTCAATTCATGCATAGTAATCAATTGATCCAATTAAATTCTCTGATTTAATTCCTAAAATTTAACAAATGATGGAGAGATCATAGATCCTAAGGGGAAGAGATAGAATATGTGATACCCCTTGATTTCAGAGACATTGGTTGATTAAGTCCACACTCAAACACCAGGGAATATCAAAACAATTAATATTTAAACAAGCACAGAATACTAAATGAATTAAAAAGAATAAATAATACACTGAAGGAAAATCTATTAAATAATAATTCCATTAATAATAATCTTCTGACTTAAAATCCATAATAAATATTCTCTAAAGATACAACTCGGGAATCCTGTAACTCAAGGACCCCTTAACTAAAATCCATTATCAGATAATCCATTAAACAAATAATACTAATAATAAACAATTGAATGATGTCCTACTCTAAAACAACCAGATTGAATAGATGACAGATAAGCTTCTAAGCTGCTGATCCTCAACCTTAAGATTTGAACTTCTAAACCTGAAAAAAAAAAAAAAAAGAATAAAATAAAATTGGGTTAAACCCACAAGTAAGTGCCCTCTATGAAGTCTCTGAAAATTATAAATAATATATCTCTAACCATAACCATCACCTATAATACAAGATGTCAAATAATAATACATAACACAACATTATTTAAATAATAAATTCTAGAACTCCAACCTTAGAATATATACAACTGTATGTATATATACATATATACATATATATACTCATATACAAACTCATACCCAACAACAGGTAAACCATTCACCTCAGAGATTAACTCCCTCAACACATAATTTTTAATACTTTGACTTATTAGCCAGTAGTTAATAGT